GTCTGACGATCTGATAACCACGAGCTTAACCAGTTGGCAATCTCAGAGAATTGTTTCAGGTCGTTCATATTTACGTAGATAACAAAACCATTAATAACCAAGTCATACCGCACAGAATTTTGCTCTGCAAAGACTGAGCGATTAAAACGCTGCAATAGTGCATCATGTAGCCAAAATGCACAATTGGCCTACACACAAATCTCACTGGCAGCTCTTCCGCGATAAATTTCAATTAATGCGCGCGCATCAATATGGTAAAGTCACCGGACTGCACGTCCGTCCGGACACGTCTCAGCTCTTAAAGGTTGCACTACACCAAAATACGCGCCCATAGGGGTGCTCTGCCCAATTCAAGGAGAATTCTTCGCCAAACCGAGACGCTGAAAAAGTACCCCTAGAGTTTATTTGAAAAAGAGGAGATTGTGGGGCCCAAGAAATTGTGGGATTGTGGAAGAATGGCCCAGAATGAACTCTCCACATTCAAGTGCTCCCATCCCTAGGCCAAGCACAGCAAAATGCTACTGACTAATTGTTCCAATAGACTGAAAAGGTGGAGGGATGTCATTTGAAAAATGGCCGCTGATGACAGACTTGGGAGCGTTCACTTTTTTTGGTGGGGGTGAGTTTGTTTTTGGTGGATAATCAGAAATTTCATTGGTTAAGTAATCTACTTAAAATTGAAAATAAAAAGAAAGCTGAATGACCCAAGAACACTCTGCTTTTTTTTGGGGGGGGGGGTTTGTAAGTTGCCGCGGGGGGGAGGGTTAAGAGGCCCGAAGGACTTTGGTTGCCTGCACCGGGGCTGCAAACGTGGTCGATTTTACTTTGTCTTTAAATGGGCTTCCTTTAGTTCAGTGCACTCATAGAAAGCAGTGAAAAGTCAGAGCGAAATAGCGCCGCCTGTTGACTCTCGGAGGAGGTCTGTCTCCGTTTTTTTCACCGGAAATTCAAGATTATGGCCAGTAGATCGCTTTTCGTTTCAATTTTATGGGTTTTACCCACGATTTGTTATTATTCGCCTTTTCCCAAAGATATATCCAAAATAGTAAAACTGTTCGCCCAGCTCTGATTGTCTTTCCAAATACGCCCGCAATTTCATGCTTTTTGTGAAAGAAATAACCCGAACTGGAAACTACCAGTCCAAAATTCGGGATTTATAAAAATGTTTCTGTGATCCCTACCGGTTATAGCATGTTTTATTGTATACAGTCCAAACAGATTTCATTAACTAATATAAAGATAACAGAAAACATATCAAAATAATCAAAATAAATCAAACACTAGAGTCAACTTGTTATTAAATTGCTCTCCTGGTTGTGAAAACAGGGTTTTCACAGAAAACTACATTTCCTGGAAAACTACATTTTATGACTTTTCCAGGATTTTTTAGGAGTAAGAAGTTTAAAAAATGCATTACTAAGATGTATGTAGGAAACCCTACATCTGAGTAATCTTTACCTGGAAATGAAATGTTTTCAAGGTTTACTGCAGTTCTATCTTGCAGGACAAAGATCCTTTTGAAGGGATCCACTCTTAGAAAAGTGCCTTTTTGTCCATCACTTGTTTCAACCTGGTCGCTTTGCTGACACTCTCTCAAAAACTGTACTGATTCCTTTAACACTTTTGTGACAGTGATGTTTTGTGGCTTGCCTGCGGTTTTCTGTAACAAAGATATATGATATTTGTTGGCTGTAATGCTCACCCATGTTAAACTGTAAAATATTCAAAGGTAGAAATCTGTGATTTATGAAGACGGGACGACTTTTCAAATATCTTTCTAGGGTTTTATGGCATTTCATTACATCAACAGATAACAATTTTTTACATGTACCACAGAAAACTTGCCTGCCGCAAATATTCCGATTTACTAATCCTTCCTAAGTGGGTTTTTCTTTCAGAAACATGTAAAGTGCATTTACGAGGAAATAACAAATTTGTTGTTTATTAATTAAATTCTTTGCACAAGTACCGGTATCTTTTGGAAATACATCATATTTCTTTCTGATATACCGGTAGACCAACAACTGAATGTTAAAATGGAACATGAGCACGTTACTTACGTCTCTGATGATACTCTCCATAGGGAGGTACTGGATGTCTTACGGAACGTTCATTCACCCAGATATCACGCCTAGTATATCCAATAAAACTCACTAGGTATGACCATTCTTTATCTTTGACTACTTTAGCTGCACACCATCTTCCCAACTCATGGAATGCCTGGACGCGACTTCCGACTGAGAATTTTCCTGTCATTTGACCTTCTTTAGAAACTGAACATTTTGAGAACTGCACCAAGACTGTAAAATGATGGATGATGAAGATGAGGAAATCACCTTAACCTTGCCCTTATATGGCAGCCAATTTACTCTTGGAGAGTCCATCATGAAAGGAAAAAAAGGCCCCAGAATATTTCATTTTAACTGATGACACAATTATCTCATTATATTCTGTTTGCAAATGATTGTTACTTTGTTACAAATTGCTTTTTTATACGGGCACCAAAACATTTCATATAGATTATAAATGTACGTGAAAATGAACTCTAAATTCTTATTTTTTGATTTTCATATCTCTGCGCAGCATCAAGTCAGTGATCAATCCAGCAATGAATGACCAAACCAGCAAAGGATGGCACAAATCTGTCATTCACTTTGTACCAAGGACTGGTACCTTTAGCAGAGGTCAAAAGCATAGGACTACTGGCATGGTTTATCACCACAAGGGGGCAATAAAAATTGTCCACTGGGGAAAGCTGTCATTTCAGAATGGATGTTTTCTTGCCGAGTGAGAGAGGTCTAACTCGGATTCGTTTAAATGGGAGAAATTCGTAATGTATGAGCCAAATGCATGAGTGGGTGAGTTCCTCGATATTTTATAAGAGCGCCCTCTACGATAGGCGGAAACTATGTATTTCGACCTACGTGCTTGCCTTACTCTACACTGTCTGTGGGAAATGGAGAACGAGCTTGAGTAAATTTTTGCGATGCTATCGGTTTAGCCAGTTGAAGGTTAAATAGCAGAAATGAATATGGCAGCGTATCAACGCGATCCTTTGGATTTTCCATACTGCGACGAAGTGTCGAAATATGAGAAGCTAGCGAAGATAGGACAGGGAACGTTTGGGTTGGTAGGCCTTTCTAAGCTGTTCGCCATATCCATGTTTTCCCGACACCAGGCCATTTTAAACAATATTCTCAGGAATGAAGTACCGCTGTTACATGCCCAGGTCATAGGCCCGCGTGATCTTAACACCTAGACTGAACATTTCCTATTAACTGTGCAAAGGCAAAATCAAGCCAGTTTTGTGTGTGTTCGTTCTTCATAACGTTGGCCCATCTTGAATGTCATGCATGTTTGGAATTTTAATTGGGTTGAGCATGTTGACTTCTTGGGGGACACGTGATTAGACACAGTGACAGTCCAAGTCACTAGTGTCTTACGGCCATCGTTGGTTTCATGTACATGGGGTTGTAACGCTGGGTGTGTTTTTAAGCTTCTGTGATAAATGATCTTGTATTATGCAAATTCTGTTTTATCAATCAAAGTTTCCTGGGCATGCTGGGAGGGTGGTTGTACGGTAGTTTCAGACTGCGAGACCAATTATTTTTTAAAATCGGACTTTTTTTCTCTCCAATCTCGCGTTTACACCCGATGACCGCACTGTTTGTGTTTATCAAATTGGGCATGCATTGGACCAATGGCTAAGCTTGTTCCACATTTCGTTTGGATCATTTTCAGAGGGGGGTGGGTGTACCCCCAGAACTGTGGGTTCCGACGTCCGCTCAAATAATACCCCTTTTTCCTTCCCACAATGCCTTTCTACAATTGTGCAAAATCACCCGTGCAGTGTTTGCGATAAGGCTTATGACCGCACAGACTGGTTAATGGTTATATGCCTTATCCAGTGTCAACTTAAAATTTACATGACATGTATGATTTTAAACAGGCGCATAATTTTTCATGCATGCATTGTTTGTCACTCTTCATGCTCTTTGGGCATCGTAGAAATGGGCATCACCTTTGTCATGTTTGTAATTAACTGTGTGGTCCGCGTATTTGACAAAAGGTGTGGATGAAGTGTAATCCAAGTAACTTCTCTGAATCGCATTTTTAACATTTTGACTGGGGATAGTAGAGTCCAAGTATCCGTCATACATGTAGGCTTTTATAGTAACGATTGCGGTAACACCATGTATCTATCTCTTCTTTGAGTATGTGTGGTTCTGAGAAGAACCGGGGAATAACTCAATGGTATCCCCGCCGCATCAGAGAAGCCATGGAAATTATCAAGCATAACACAGTTCCCCAAGACATCGGCTTCAACATCAGAGATATCTGGCGCCCCATCCTAACATCCCAGTCCAACGGGTCTCCTATACCCTAGGACTCCCTAGTTAGGTTTCCCCCTCAGTTAGCCTATGCGTCTTCTCTACCCTTGGTACCCAGCTAGTCACTCTCCCTCTGCCAACTCCAACTGACACGCTCCAGTAGGCACACACACAGGCCATGCAGCTCCAGGATCCAGTGCAGCATCCATTGTTCCTGCCATCACTGTTCCCGCCTTAACGCCTCACCGAGCTAATCCCTACATCTGGATCCCTCTCTACACCATATAAGCTCCACTCCCAGTTAGAATCCTGCAGTCTCCTGAAGACGGACAGAATACACTGTCCGAAATGTTGAGTTATTCCCCGGTTCCACAGAACCACACATACTCAAAGAAGAGATAGATACATGGTGTTACTGCAATCGTTACTATAAATCTAGTTTCCTTCACCATGAAGACCGTTAAATCTTATATGTAGGCTTTTCCTCCAATTAATTGATTTCACTCAAAATGGTTTGTAAAATCACACCAAAATTGGAGTATTGAGGACTGTTAGGGCTTTGGAGGGTTTAGTTTTCTACATACATGTAGCATGATCATTAAAACCCTCCTTCTGTTTTAACCGTCAAAAACAGTAAAAAATGCCTACCAGTTGATTTCCCCCAATACAGACACGTATGGGAAATTGGACTGATTTTGACTGATGTGACAACTGTGTCAAGAATGCACCTTAGCATAGGAGGGTTTTAAACTAAAATCCAGTGAGCACATACATAGCAGTTCCATGGCTCCCAATAACCAGGTGTTGGATCAAACACACACAACTTTGGGACCTGGAAGTTATTGTTTTCTCCCATGCCAAAAGAGTTCCGAAACTACAGTATTCTTCTGTTTTGAATCCAATCCTGCATCAGATGCAAGATTGCAGGATACTTTGTTTGGACCGTGATTTGTTTTCCTGGATGACTTTTAAGGCAAATAGTCCAACTTGCACTAGGTTGAAGTTTCATTACATGAATACAAATTCACAATGACAGTGTAAACATGAAACTAGACGAACGTTGGTCATGGTGAAATTCCAAAATTCCCTCAAAACCTCACTGCACATGTTCACAAGCTACTCTTGACATGTTCATGTAAATTGTACTGGCATACCAAGTACAGCTCTTCATGTATATCATTGATGGTATGAATGCTAAATGCATAACATTGCATTGTTGATTTTAGTCCTGTAGACATATTCTGGCTTTGTGGCCTCTTCCATTAGTGTTGATAGATCTCTGAGCAAATTAATTAAATAATCTCCATTATTTACATGTTTCAATACTGACACCTTTTATTCCTTAGGGAAGTCTTCAAGGCGGAGCACAGAGAAACCAAAAAAGTTGTTGCTCTGAAGAAGGTGCTCATGGAAAATGAAAAAGAAGGGGTAAGCTCATCATTTCCTGTCAGATACATGTATGAGTCTGAGCTAGACAAAGCATCAACCGAGGCACTGTTTACTTTGTATGAGGCTTGACATGTCAAGTAAAGAATTTGTCATTCGGTTGTAGTGAGTTGTTTGACTTAGTTCAGTACTGCATGCAGTTAACCTGCTTCGGTTTGTAAAGGTTAACCCTACAATGTACATGCATCTCCTTAGGCATTCTTGCATTGAACTTCCTAGATTCTTTGCAAATCCTTCACTAAGCCGTAAATCAATGGTATTTAGTTTGTACATCAACTCTCTAAGGGTATTAAACCTCATGTAAAGTGATAGTGGAGGGGCTCATCCATCCTAAACCCTTCAGAATCCTACACCACCTCCTTTTTAAACTAATTTCATTTGTTCAGTAATCAGGTGTACATTCCCACGGTATTCTTGATTTGTTTTCACAGTTCCCCATCACAGCACTGAGAGAAATCAAGATTCTTCAGCTTCTCAAACATGAAAATGTAGTGTCCCTCCTAGAAATATGTCGCACCAAAGGTGAGTCTCTGTTCACTTAATCCTGTTATGTTTCATATAACCTAGGTGCATAAATGTGTTATCCCATTGATGGTCCGTGGATTATCAGTCACTGACTTGTTTGTCCCAATGCACTGCACGACCTCGTCATTAAAACAGATTGTCACACCTGTCTTGAATACCTTTTTCATTGGCCCAGAATGATCATGTGAGACGGCAATGAAAGCACGATGCTGCACTCACCTTCAGATATCACATAAGCTGGCCCTGTATGGTATTGTTTGCACACGCACTCACCCTAAGCTCCACAAAACACAGGATAATGCAGAGACCGCCAATGTGAAAAGTTTCCTTTCTTGCCATTTATTTCCCTTGAAAACTAGTGAAAGACATCATCAAGACAGAGATATGACAAAACAGGTGTTGATATACCTGTAGTGTTATGAGTCCCTCGGATATTCAATATTTTATATCCCACATCACAGGATTCAACAGTTGTTAAACATTCTAATCAATGGCTGTAATGGAATGTTCTTCTTCATGGCCACAATTTATTGTTGATACAGCATTTATTCACGTCAGGATTTGTTCAGATGACACGGGTTTTTTTCAGCATAAAACAAACAAGCGATGTTTCACATTCATGCAATAGCAAGAATTTCTCTGCATTTGGCTCTGTATCATGGACTGAATCATCCTGTCTGTCACCTCATGAAATTATTCTTACCATCACTGTCAGAAGCATCAATGAGAAGTTTGTATAATGTAACAAAGCCACTTACATGACTCCCTGCTTCTTGGAATACATGTACATGTACTTATAAAATGTGTTGCTTGTTTGTTGATTTTTTCCCCTGGAAACCATCAGTTTGGTACATGTACATGTACGTTAGATTAGGATCTAGATTTAATCTCAGTGTTTCTTTTGTTTTGGTCACAATTTTCAACAAATCAAACAGGTTGTTTTTTGGTTTGTTGACAGCCACCATGTACAACCGTTACAAGGGTAGCATCTATCTAGTCTTTGAGTTCTGCGTGCATGACTTGGCAGGTCTTCTCAGTAACTACAATGTGCATTTCTCCCTGGGAGAAATCAAGGAGGTGATGAAGCAGTTGCTGAATGGTCTGTACTACATTCATAGCAACAAAGTGCTCCACCGAGACATGAAGGCTGCTAACATCTTCATTACCAAGGAAGGCAAGCTCAAGCTGGGGGACTTTGGCCTGGCGCGGGCATTCAGCATGCCCAAGCCGGGTCAGGTCAACCGTTACACCAACAGGGTAGTCACACTGTGGTATCGCCCCCCAGAGCTGCTCCTGGGCGAGCGCAACTACACACCAGCCATTGATTTGTGGGGCGCAGGCTGCATCATGGCCGAGATGTGGACACGCAGCCCTATTATGCAAGGCAACACGGAACAACACCAGCTGACACTGATCAGCAACCTGTGCGGGTCTGTCATGCCTGAGGTCTGGCCTGACGTGACAAAGCTTGACCTCTTCCACAAGTTGGAGCTGCCACAGGGCCAGAAGCGCAAGGTCAAGGACCGGCTCAAGAAGTACGTCAAGGACCAGTTTGCCCTAGACCTCATTGACAAACTGCTGACACTGGATCCCAAGTCACGGACCGATGCTGACCAGGCACTGAACCATGACTTCTTCTGGAATGACCCCATGCCCTGTAGCCTGGTCAATTTGCTGTCCAAGCTCAATACGTCCATGTTTGAGTATTTGGCACCCAAGCGAAGAATCAATCAGGGTCACCATCCAGGACATGGTGGACAGATGCATGGCCAAAGACACCCCCAGGCATCAGGGAGACCTGCCAATGCCACTGATGCAACATATGACAGAATATACTGACCGAGCTCATGTGACCTCGGATACAACCACAAAGTTCACATGTATGTGTTAGGAACTATCCCTTGCTTCTTTTGACAAGACACCCTAATCAGTGTCAACCACACTCGAAATTAGAGCCATAGAACAGGTCTTATGTGTACGAAGTCCATCAACTTGTGCTGTGTGTACATGTACACACATGTATTTGGTATTCATGTAGTCCGTACTTATCTACACGTACAGGTGCATGTATGGCCTTGAGTGTTGAAAGCACATCCAGCATCAACCTTTATATAGAAGTCAACTTGGGCTCAGTTTGCTAGCTTAGCTCAGGAATTGTACTATTGTCAGCACTGGGTTTCCAACACTATCACTGAAATTTTCACAACTCCAGAGCTCCAAGCTGGACCAAAGATTTCTAATAGCAGCGGACATGACGGAGGCTTCTTTGGAACTGTATCTCGCAGGTTCAAAAACGACTATGAAATGCATGCATTGCAGTCATGTTACTACCAACAAATGAACACTCCCCACCAACATGACTCTTTTTGACCAATGAGGGGGTGATGCCTCTTCTCAAGATGGACAAAACTTTACACAAGTGAATAAACCCAAATGCCTTGTTAACCTACAAAATAAGTAAGCCATCAAACCCATCATGCAGAATAGTGTGCATTCCATGCAATACCCCGTCCCTAGTAAATACTAAGGTTGTTGGGAGAGTGTGAAGTGAGTGCCTGGTACCTTTGCAGATTTCATACTTTTTCCCCCAACTCCACATTATGTGCACACAACACGCACACAAACACACATAGGATATTTTTTACTTTGTAAAAATGTGGCGCTCATTGTTTACTAGGAACCCTAAATGATTATTCACCGTGAGCAGTGCCATACATGTGTATGAAATTGGGCCCACTACCCATCAAGCATTCTTAGAATGGTTAGGAAAGATTTTAAAAATGGAACTGGATCTGAGCAGCAGTTTAATTATGTTTTTTAATTACAGATTCACCATTAAACAAAGCATGCTGACAACACCATTGGTGTCTACTATTAGTGCAAAAGGAACTGCACGTTTATTTTCCTTTGGTTGTTTTGAGTTTGCACCTTTTCCACAGAGTGGGATTTGGTACTCCAAAGTACATTCCAATGCAGGGTTTTCTAGAAGCATTTATTGGGATAACTTGTCGATGTCAAAGCTAATAATACTGGAGTGTCGGTTGGGCTGACAACTTTCTTCTTAAATTAAAAACACTGCTTAAAAATCGACAAAGCTACTTAATGGGACGCTGAATTATTCTGTTAATAAAGAAGTACATGTACACCGGTGATGTAAGGAAGTTGTAATGAGTGTGGTTTGTAAATTTGTATAACCGGTACAAAAGTGGGGAATGTCACAACTGCTGTGACCTGTATTGTGCCATTTGGGTGTGAAAACCTTCGAAGTTCTGAAGAGAGAACCTGACACCATTCTTAAGAAAGAACTTAAGAATGCAACAATGGAGAACAGCCCTTTTCTTTGCATACAGCTGCGTACAGTGTACATGTACTTCAAACAGTTGTGAAACAAAACCCACTAGTAGGACATTGCCTTCCCAAACATTAAAGAGGGTTAATGCATAAAATGTATCCTCGTGGATGTGAAGCACACAATGTGACTGGATCCCACAAAATTAGTCTTACAATCATTTTGGTTGGTAGTGCGATTGTATCGCTCAGCTTGGCATCCTGATGTGAATGCACATTATGTCATTATGTGGGCGACAAACCTTGATTTCGCTCACGCGAGATTTGGTAAGTCAGGTCACCATGTGCAACACACCATTTATGCCGTTAATAGATTTCTAGACAGTTTTGTCAATTCAACATCACAGAGTCGGACCTACATGTATGATAAGCAGTCAAAGTCGATATTTATCCCTAAATTAAAAAAAAGGATGCATATAGCTTAGTCAAGCATACCCTGTGCTATAAATGTGATGTCAACAAATAGTAACCAGTTCCTGCAGTCTTTGTATTTAAGAAATAATACAAGCTTTGGTATTTACAAAACAGAACAATCACTGTATGCAGGCAAGCGGAGTGAACATGCACAGGCAACAGACTTGGATGGGTGGAAAAGACAAACTTTCCAAACCTGATGACCTTTATGACAAGCCCAAGGCAAATGGACTGGTAAAAAAGGACTTCATTAAAAAAAAAAAAGATGATTCTTTTGCGTACCAGACAAATGTAATTTCAGCATGAATTATGGGACCCCTTGCATGTATACCAAAGCTCAGCTTGGAGGATATTTGAATATGTCTTTCTTTCAAATGCATGATCAACAGTGTGAATTGCTTGCGCCACACTGCTCCAGTTTGCTTCACTTGAGGGCAGCAGCAGAAAATTAGCCATGTCAGACAACTGACCCTTTTCAATCTAATATTCTGACGTTTCCTTATGTTTGAGTGCACTTAATAGTAACTCGTCTTCTAAGACAGCAAATGAAAGCAATCACAAGGGTGCAAGTTGAATGGTCTAGCAAGTGTTTTTCATGGGTCTTTAATACATGTGTATGAGCACATACTAAAAATGGCAACGCTTTCTCTTTCAGTAAACAGAAACCTAACCTCTGAGTCTATCCACTTTGGCAAGGAGCTATTCACTCGTGCACGTATGAAACACCCATTTGTGTTCAAATAACCAGTAATGTGCAAGCATTCACAAATAGTGCAACAATGGACTATTTAAGAGTCATGGGGAAAAACACATTCGGCTAAAAAATTTAATGGAAGTATGAACTTGAATAAAATATAAATTAAAAGACATCGTCCTGGCTTTTACTCCCTCCTGTTTGGTTATGTACCATGTGATTCCAAAAGTTTTAAGCACCACAACAAAAATTCTTTTAACCCCCCCCATCAGTCCACTTCTGCATTTTACAGGGCTGATTTGCATGCTATGTAATTTATATTCAAGATAGTTTGAAAGGTCATCATTCTACAATAACAGCACTGCAGGCAGCCTCTCACGTTTTGATTTTAATCCAACACCCCTCGGTGCTGCTGATCATCAGCACTTCATCAAGTGTTGTCTCTAAAAACTATGATACCTGCATTTGGGGATTAGAGGATGCAGGCCTAGTCACATGCTCGCTTTGTGACGGGGTGTTCTATAGAGTCAAACACAGCCAAAACATATGTAGCATCACGGTGCATTCTGAGACCTAGATGGGGACTATCCTTTGAAATCCTAATAAATGTCGCACGTTGAACGGATTAGAAATAAGGTTGTATTAAAAGTGGATGTTTGAAGATAGTTGGCCATGTGATGTGGTTTGAAGTTTTTAGGGGTAAAGAAAAAATGCCAAGTTAACCAATCCATGTGTATGTCCCCACCTAGCTCTCAGAATGAACACAGTGTCATGTCATCATGCCTCACAACTACAGAGATTATGATGACACAAACATCCTCACCAGGGGTACATTTCACCTTGTGTTGCTGGTGTTATCTTTCTTTTGTGTTCTGGACATTCACTCAGCAGTATTGCAAGTTCACATACATGTACCAGTTATCTCAGCCCGATCTTTGGACGAGTTTGCCAACCGCCAATGCCTCAGGAAATAAACTACCCACTCTTCTCACCAAGTGGCCTTTGTATACTATCACCGTCATTGAACATCTGAGTGAAATGTAACCCTGATGAAATGTGTACACTGCTCATTTTTACTGACCAATTATGTCAAATCAAATGCACCTGTATGTAGTTCCCTTCACATGTTTATACCAGTAACAATTGCACATATATGTACAGTACAGGCATTCATTCCATCAATTGTAGTGCTAAGCTTAGGCAACTACGAGAGTCAGACAAACACACGTTCTAAACACCCTATTTTCTCTCCATGTCTTCCATGTCAAAGGCACTTTTTTTACAGAGAAGAAAATAGACTGCTGTTGTAACTATTGGCTTTGTCCTCGTGCGTCCCGTTGTTTAGCTTGACTCTTTGAAGCTGACAACGAAACTGAGAAATGCCTTCCTGCAACGCTACAGAGAGAACTACAGCTTGAGAATCTATGAAGGAGAAGTGGGACTTTTCTTGGATGGAACTTTACAGTTACAAAGAGGACTGTGGTCAGAAAAATGAGGCAGAGAAAAAAGAAAAAAAGCTACCGTTAAACTACCACAGACGATTAAAAAAAAGCAGTAAAAACAAAACCAAAAGATGTCTAATGCCGTTGCAATCTGAAACCAAACTCCCACTTCCTCAGTTTGTGTATTTACAGATGCATAGTTAAAAGGTTCTAATGATACAATTTACAAAATGTACACATTTACAGTAAGTATAAATAATGCCAGAAATCAATGAACATAACACAAATAGCTTGTGCTTCACAATACGTGCAGCATAGACCAGATGCATGTACAATGTATAACATGATAGCAATCTGCATGCTACTGCAGGACTGGATGGAATGACACTGCAAGGTGCTAGGTACCGACAAATGATAGGCCTAAGAAGCTTCCAGCATGTTTCCAATCCTGTTTCAAACACCTAGTCACGCACAAATTCACAGGTGTTGTTAACTAAAGTGAACTGACATTTTGTGCGTGATTAGCTGCTGTGCTCTGTTTTGTTAGGTAGAGCAGGCACATGTGGCACTGTTCTTACTCTTTCAGTAAAGTTTGGGATTCAACAAGTTCATTTCTAGGCAAACTGACAAGTTAGCGCCAGTCAATCATTAAGAGTGAACAGAGATTGAAAACAGTGTCCTCCCCAAACCAATCACACCAGTGCCAACCCATTTCAGAAAAATGACCAGTGTGTATGCAACGAGTCTACAAAATCAGTACACCATTCTGAGCTCATGCTGTCCAGCACCATGTCCTGCTATTGAGAGTGTTTCATCGGTTCTCAAAACCATTTTAGGTTTATATATTGTGGTTACATAGGTGGTATGTCATGTGGCAAAATATTAAGGGCCTGGAGTTACCCCGGCTTAATAGTTTTGAAAGACAAAAACTTAAGGGGCATAACTCTCTCAGAACCATGTGACATGTGAGGACATTAGGTTAGTGCGCAGACAAAGTGATGGAACATGATGGTGAGTTCGGGCGGCTTGTTCTTGTATGTTCAAGAACCGCTCGTTTTGTTGTTTGTTAGTTGGCCACTCAAACACCGGGAACGTAAAACTCGTTATTGCTGGTTGCTCCATGCATCATGGCGGCATCCATGTACGTTCTTTCAGAGTGAACTTTGGAAAGCTGGGCTGAATTCTTTTCTATTTAAAAAGGAACATTCATTTCTTGATTATTGAAATGATTATTGTTAATTTTGTAAAATTTCCAATTGTCTCCAGCTTTGTGAGCCATCTCGATATTTTTTTTGCAGCTGTTCAAAAATTAAAATCTCAGGAGTTTTCCCGTGTGTTCCTGTAAAACCCTGACAAGGAGGTGGTGCGTAATCCTGTTCCGGGAACAGTGTACTTGAGTCGTGTTCCCGCCGTTCGAGCACAAGAACAAGAAACTCGTGTCAAGAACAGGCCGCCCGAACTCGACCACTAAGTGGAGTTTGTGTGTCCCTACAGCACACTGTTAACTGCAGTTTATACTGCTCCAGTGTTTGTGGCTGTTACAGCAATCAGACGCTTTGTGGCGATGTGGATGGGCTTTTATGCAGACAGCTGGCACTCTCACAGTGAACCTGCATCATTTGCAGCAAAGACCATGGGGTGGAGTTTATTGTCTGTGGTAGGGTAGGACGGGCTTTAAGTTGGGAGGTATGTCCGTCGAGGTCTTGTTTCTGCAGAACAGTGCATCCATTCCTACCATGCTGATAGGAGCTCATCCAGGTACTGTGTAATGTTTCCACGGCAATGCTGTATCATACCCATGGTTTCAGTCATTCCATGCCTTCATTGAAGTCCTTTCAGCCAATTTAGTCTTCCCTTTGGCTCTGGCTAGACTTTTAACTGTACTACCTAGTGCTGCACTTTTTATATTCAGTCAAAGGACATCAAGTTGGCTGGTGTCTGAAAGAAAGATTAGAACTTGAACTAAGTTGATAGAATACAAAAGGCTGTCATCTCCAATTCGTAGCCTTTTTCACTGCAGAAATAATTGACATTTCAAGTTTAAGGTTTAACCAATTCTGTTTCCTTCAGTTGTGGATATGCTGGGTGCAATCTTAACATAGTTTAACCACTTCCTGCCGGGGATTCCGGATCCAGACACGTATGCTTTATAAGCGTGGCCGGGGTCTCCGAACTCGGACAAAGGGAATAGGGCCTTGTAACAAAACACCGTACTTGGAACAAGAGACCAGGCTGCTGGGAATTACCGACATTTTTTCACTCTGGAACGTGGAGATAATCCAGCCTTGTTTAGAAACAGTATACCACGGTTTGGGGCATTTAGAGAGGGCAGATTACCACCGGGGACAAAAGCTCTCAACCACTGAGCCACACAGCATTGCTGCACGCTAATCTGGCCCCTATTGCAAAGAGGTCAGCAGTGCACTGAGCCAGGTTCATGAACAAAAGAAAGTTACATAACACTGCACAACCTGGGCTGTTTTTTCCAAGACTGCAGGCCTGGCTGAAATACTCAGGCGTCAATAGATTTGTCTGTCAGGCTAGAGGGGCCACCAGACAGTCCTTCACGTGTTTATAAGTGTCCAGTACATAAAGATAGGAATTTTTAAAGAATTTTGAAAGCAGAAAAAAATGATAAATATCCCGGCCCAGCATCATCAGCATTGATAACTGCCCCAGCAGGAAGTGGTTAAAAGTATTTGTACACCACATTTTTGTTATCAATCGTACAATAGGCCCATGTACTGATGACATTACACTATGCACTTTCCTATGGAGCCAGTGAGGGCCCACGGTCCACTGACCACCATAGGACAGCACACATAAGGCGTGGCGTTGTAAGTACAGGGATACATGTACATTGCTATTCCCGCTGTTTGATATTCATTTTGGTAACATGAAAACAAGGTAAAATAATTCTGTTTTGTTAATCAGACACCCCAACAACTGCTTTTGACGCAAAGTATCAGCCAACACTCTAAACATTGCTTTAATTCATTTGAACTTGATGGGTGCAACTTCTCAAGCTAACAATGGCCTTGCATGCCCAATGTTGGCAGACGTTTACATTGCCCATGAGTCCATATGAACGGTTGTACTGCATACAGCCTTACTGACCTTTGGCCCTTTGTGTTTTTTAGTAGCCTCATCAAGGTATCTCACCCACTGGCAAGCCAAGGCATAGGAGGGGGCTTTGTACTTATATGAGTTACCTGGCAGAGGAAAAATAAAGAGACAGGTGGTCAGGACAGATCTCTTTTACCGTTTAACAAAATGTTTGCCATAAATATTTGAACATTTAGTCAATACTTTTGCCTGTTGAGTAGTAAGCGTAGGCGTGAAGTACCTGCAAATAAGGGTAAAACACCTGCACATGGGATCTACCTAAAACGGCTGTGCATGATGAACATCAATGGCTGAACACACCTGAGTATCCTGCCCCTTTTTACTGATGCACTACATGTAAATTGCACCATTGAAAGAATCTGGCCTTTATTTTGTTTGCAGAAGTGTGAACACTTGTGCTGGCTTTCTTGTGTGGCTGGCGATGGCCTACTTGCGGAAGGATATGTTGATGTACCCTAATGTGGCCCACTCTGATTTTTCACCTCTAGTGCCTTGCCGGAGCGATATGCTTACCTCAAATTTCATAAAGTGAAATGGAAACTCTCAACATTCTGATTCAAAAATCTTGTTTTACAAAACTCTCAACTCGCTGCAGCTTCAGATGAAATTAAAATTTTGGCTTGATTTTTTTAATTGTTCTAAACTCCAACATGAAAAAAATACTTCCAAACTATAAAAATAATCCCCTAACAAATTTGTGGTTAGGTAAGTGAAGCTAGTAATAATTCAGCACAATTATCAACTTCAAAGAATTTCTTTACCCCTCACCGCCTAGGCCCTTTTGGCTAGGATACACCCTCAATCGTTTAAGTGGTAAACTTGAGCCTCTTGATGTGAAATCCTAAACTGACATTCTTGAGACATTTTTGCTGGGAATCTTATTAATTCTTTCGAACGCCAACAATGATGCCTCCTCTGCGCCTTTACAAACTGGGGACATAGACTTCAATACTGCAAAACCAAGTACTGGGTATCTGCAAATTTGGCGGCAGTTGTGAATTCAGGGCCTTTTAAAATACAGGAATAAAAACGACTCAAAACAAGTCCATGTGGAAGTGCTAAGCTACGACAGAGGGACTAACCCTTGGCAAGGTCTGTTAGTAGGATGACGTTGTTTCCTCTGGTCTCTGGTAACGTCACTACCCAGTCACTGATGGAAAACAATTTACAAGGCCTGATCTTGAACTGCAAGCAGAATTACAAAAAATTTTTAAAAATCACCACACTGCCAAAAATAAATGGGCAAAATGGCAAACTATGTGTAAAGCATGTAAGTAATATGACAATAAGATATCCAAACGACGGGCACATGGTGGGGGAAATATCATGGAGAACCATTCATTGCAATACATGTCACATAATGCTTGGCTGGTATCCCTTTTTGCTAATTGAAACTCTTTTGTGTGCTAAACTTCGAAGCTGAAATAAATGTTCGCATTCTGACAGGGAGGAAAGTTTCAGAGCCAATGACTCCTTTCCACAATTTCATACAAAATCCAAAGCAGTAGCTTATACTGAAAGTACTAACTGACCAGACATGACGAAAGATAACGTAGACATATTGAATCCCTCACAGACGAAGAAATGCTGACGTGACTGCTACCCAAAAAGAGTATACTTACGTCTGTTCTGTCGTGCCCAGTGAAGTACTTCGCTGCATAGTGTACGATGTTGGTTCCCCATAACCCTACCCAGTATCTAGTCCATGCTGTGACCTGAGAATGCAGAGGGAGAGACCGAGAGAGGGAGCAGTTAGTGATCCTTCCTCAATCCTGCAAAATCCTCCAAAAACGTGACAGATTTGGAAGGATCTGGATGGACAGGAGTTCACATGTTCAACTTCATGCACAATATCTTTTGACACTATAACTGTTTCATATCAGCGTGAGCTGAAGTTGTCCTCAAATTTAGAAATGGAGAAAATAAAGACTTTAACTCACCGATACTTTCCTCCCAAGTTTCATGACTGGCTTCCGCTTCAGGTAACCTTGCAAGCAAAGTAATTAACCAAATAAACTTGTAAATGTTGAATTCCCAAACCGGAAAAAACCCAGCAGCAACATCAAATAAAGAAGTAAGCTTCTTAGTTCTTAAAGTTAATAATTTGAATACTCACCATGTATTTTAAATGCTGATGCTGGTACCTCTGGTATATTGTGAACAAGGTCTTCGCAGCTTTCAGTCAAACTGTCAAACAAAACACAAACGGTAACACGAGTTATTCTTCTTAAAATGAGGCAAAATAATTTCTCTTTAGATGTGCAAAAGCAAAGCACTTTGAGTACTTCAAGAACATACATTCCATCCTACTTCAGGGTTCCTGCACCTACAGGACAACTACATTGTAAATTCCATAACTTGTACATGACCAAATCATGAAAATACATGACCCAGTAATGCAATTTCTTGGACTATTCTGACTTTCAACGTTGCAAATAAAATCATGCATATTATGCACTCATTTCTGATAATCAAAATCACACACAGTGTTACAAAATTCCATGACTTCCAGACCTGGAAAACAAGAACAAATTTCCATGACTTTTTGACGACTTTTCCAGGCCACAAGAACTCTGCACTTTCACTTAGTAGCGTAAAGTAATGAAATTATCACAACAAACCACACCATTCCAAATAGTAAAATAAAATTATTTGAAAAAAAATGATCACTGAAACTTAAAATCAAAAAACTTAATTTTTAACTTGTCTGCCTGATGTCAGGTTCAGAGGATGAAGAATTTTCCAAATACAGTGCACATGACAAGGTTCAAATTGACTGGCTGTAGGTGGGAGTAATGCACATCCATGGGAACTGCCAGAAGCTGCTAGCCAAGTGACTTCCATCCATGGGAACTGGCTGTAGCTGCTAGCCATGTGACTTCCATCTATGGGAACAGGCTGTGGCTCCTAGCCATGTGACTTCCATCTATGGGAACTGGCTGTAGCTGCTTGCCATGTGACTTCCATCTACGGGAACTAGCTGTAGCTATCAGCCACGTGACTTCCATCTATGGGAACAGGCTGTAGCTGCTTGCCATGTGATTTCCATCTAGGGGAACTGGCTGTGACTGCTTGCCATGTGACTTCCATCTATGGGAACTGGCTGTGACTGCTTGCCATGTAACTACCACTGACACACACATTACTCCCTGACACTGCCACAACAAAGCCTACTTTGCTACAACACAACCAGATTCAGTGCATTTTTTGGTCTCAGAACACTTATGGTTTGTTGGCACTTACTTGTCCCCTATCCAGAGATCTTGATCATCGCTGAGTTCTGACCCTTCACTGCTTCCTACAAATTCATCAAGAACAAACAACTTCAAAACACATCTTATGACACCTATTCAATGACTCATCTGCGAATCATTTGACAAGGCAGCTCACTCTATTACAGGTGCCTACAGTTGATAAACTTATTTGCTAAATGACCTAATAACTCATCTGCTTATACATGGTAATAGTTGAAAAATAATTTGGAAACTTAACTGACAACCAATCTAATAGTCAAAATGATTTTGCAAATGATTTCACAACACATTTAGCTACTCATTAAGCAAATCCCTAGCTGACCCATTTGTTACTATTTTGAAAACTCTAAGTTATTAATTTGATAACTCACTTTGTGACTCACTTGGTAATTCTCTTGGTAACCCCATCTGACACTTCTTTTTTTAATCATTAGTGAGAGGTAAGTCATTTGGCAACTCAGCTCCAGTCAGCCTCACCTATTGACATACCATTCATTGACCCTTCAATGGAACTTGTGATGGAGGGATGACCATGTGCGCTTGTTTCCTCCAGTAAGCTGTCATCCAGTAGATGCCTGGGTCCATGTGCAATGTGTGAATTGGTTAAACTGAAAGAGAAAAGATTTGAAACCCTGTATGAGAACTGTGAAACAGATCAATGACAGGGAGGAGACTGGTACTGAGCGAGCCTAAATACTTCTGAAATCTAGTGAAAGACTTCATAACATTCAAGTTTAAGATTACAGGATGAGAAGGAACAAATGACACATCCAGTGGAGATGTGATGGCAACAACATACATGTACATGTATTTGGAAGTTTATGGGTGATGACTTCGCTCCCAAATAATCTTGTTCTAAGTGTTTGTACAGTCTCCAAAATGGCAAAAGCTGAATCAATAAGACACCTAAAATCATATTTAAGTTGTTAAAAATCCTGAAATCTGGAAAAATCCTGACAAATCCAACCCCTGAAGATCCAGATCCCAGCTTCATTATTTATCACATGATATGTTCATGCACATTTACAGATGTCTGTCTTGCCCTATGGCATTATGAAGGATGAAGGGCAAATATAAACTATGCTCTGAAAGTTTTAAAATCTAATAGTAATATGGAGGATTTGGATTTGGTAGGTTAAATCAGACACTGGTGCAAACTCTGAAGGTTTTAAAATCTAATGGTAATATGGAGGATTTGGATTTGGTAGGTTAAATCAGACACTGGTGCAAACTCTGAAGGTTTTAAAATCTGATGGTAATATGGAGGATTTGGAATTTATGGTTAATTCAGACATTGGTGCAAGTCATCGGTTGCATCACGAACTGATTAATGCATTGCGGATAGTTGCTGCACCATGAGTTGTCCTTTCATGTGCATAAGATCTTTCAACGATACATCCTTTGTGGTACACCAAAACTATCGCGTAGGTCACTTCATGGCGCAACCGACGTTGTGTAGGAATATGAGGGGTAATTCGATCTGAACACATTGTCTGTTCTTATTGGAAGTAGATTTGTGACTTACTGTAAGGGTTCAATTGCTGCATGAGACACAAACCTGTGAAAGGCGGCAAATCAAAATATTTTATGAATAGGGATATTATCCAAATTGAAAAAAAAATGTAAATATCATTCATCATTGCTCACGGTTATTAAACGCACTTATATTTCTGTTTTAAAAATTTTTGTCACTTTTGCTTTGGGCACTGCTCTTGTAAATACTAACGTTGTTCCTAAGCTTTTTGTTTTCCGATGACCTGGTACAAATCTTGCTGCGGCTAGAGGTGTGGCTGGGGTGGATTTGCCTGGTGACGAGCCTCTATCTACAATAATGAACAGAAGAAAATATTCAAACAAAAACAAAAGCAAATGATAGGGTGGTACCAAGGATTTCCATATTCAATAGATTGACTATCCAGATTCTTTTACTATCATCTGAATATTTGGAAATGATATACTACTATAACAAATGAAAAAAAAATCAACTCCAAGATACTATTATACATGTGTTGAAACCTTTGCTGAATCATATCTTGTTACCTGTGGCAGTAATTCATAGAATCGCAAAACCGTTAATACTTGACAATAATTTGCATTTTTGCGCACTTTGACCCAAAATCTTCCTAGGAGTTAGGAACCAATTCCAAAATTGGAATCAGAGAAAATTCAAGAAATTTCCGATTAACAGATAGTCCCGACTGACTTGGCCTTACCCCAACTTTACGAGCAAGTTACATTTGTACACTTTGACTTAAGAAATGGAAGGAGACTAATGTGCACTATTCCTCTCCCACAACTTGTCACTTTATGAAGACAGGCAACCAGCCCAAAATTCATGAATGAAAACATTTGGAAATGACAAAAAATTAGCCCCGGATGGTTTTTCGAAGCAATGACAATGACCCTTACATTTTCAAAGTTTAGACGGTTAGAACTTCACTGTTATTATGCTTCTAAGGATGATAATCTACAGGGTCCAAAACCAACCTCTCAGCAGCAAAAAACGACAGGCTGATGGGAAAAAATCCAATTTAGCGTATGGTCACATGCAAAGATCGAACACAGAAATTGGTTGCATATGTTCAGTGTGTCTCGTAGAAAGCGCTCATGAACCTGTGCAAGCAATTGGTGCTTTTCCCACCAAAGGAAAAAGATTTAAGGCACACCATCTATAGTTCCACTGTGGAAAAGATAGAAGTGGGAGCAAGTTGCCTGCAATGCAAGAAATTTCAACCATACCTAAAGCTTCTAATTCATCTCTTGACTTGGACACGTTTGACTGTGGGTTGGCAGGCTCAATCTGCAGGGACAACCTGTAAACCAAAACATCCAGGTTATAAGCACAAGTGACTGCGCGAAGGGGACTACAAGATCCACATAATGACCAAATTCACAAGTTTTCCACTGTATCAAACACATTTGGGCACAATTTGATATAACTGAGATTTACTGCTTTCTTGAAATATGAAACTGCTGATGCAGGTGACTACAAAAGTTCAACTTTTTCCATGGATGACACACATGAAAAAGCTCTTTCATTAATTGGAATGCAAACTATGAATCCCGAAGCAACAAATCCTCTATGCATGCCAAATACAGGTTTCTAGAAAGTCAAAATCATTGGAGCGGGGACGGGGGTGAAATTTGCCCATCAGTTGCAAGAAGGAAAAACACAAACACCTTTTCTCAAAAATATCTGGCAAAGTGTCAAAATATTTAACATTCTTAAATTTCATTTGTCATAAAAACACAAGTCGCTTACTTGTAATTATCTTCCTCTACAAATTTCTGAAGTTCATCGATGTAGCGCACTGACTTCAGATAATTCTGGACATAGGGGAGGGGCTCGATCTCGTATGTTGACAACTGAAACTCAGCTATTGTCCGTAAGACATTATTCATCTGGATATGCAAAAAAGAAATAATTTGTAACCGACTGTGACGTGTGCTCATGCATAAAGTTGTATCACCAAATCCCGTCCATCTGGAGAGTGTTGAACAACCTAATTTGCAAAATGGGTCTGCAGTGGTAAATGGAATCTTACTTTCTCCAAAGATGAAAAGGGCGTGAACTACCGGTACTAACACAAAGTAAAAAATGAAATCCTCTATTTGAAAGTGGCCTGTGCTCCGATGATCTCATGGTTAATACATGTACGCTTCATATCCGTCATCCCAATCTGGCTCCCGTTAGAAAATGCACGTGTAAACAAAGTGTGATGTCTTCAGTACATAGGCCCATTATTCAAAAGTTCCAGAATCAGAGATGTCATTTCAGACACAGATTTGTTTGAAGCTGACTGTAACTTTTTACATTAAACTGAGACTAATGGTATTGCCATTGATGTACGTTTACCATAAACTGTTTATTTTTCTGCTTTATCCTGGTTAACCTGGTCAGGATTTTTGATGTCATTGCTTTGAATGAAACAAAAGGGTCATTTCACAGTTGAAAGCGGGAGGAAACCCGGAGGTCTTTTAACAAATTGTATTTAGTAAGAGCTTGCAAATTACATTTGTCGTCTTCTGTGCAATGTACATGTATTCCATTGACCCAGGGGATAAGTGATCTGTCCTCAATCTCTGAGTACAGGTACTTTCGTTTCAACGTAAATTATTTCGGTAGTTTTCACTTTCTTGAATTTATTTATGCAACAGAAACCAGTAGTACGTGCATATAACATAAAAACAGCAGAAGGGAGTGAGCCAGTTCCTGCCATAGACACAGTGATTCCTGATGGATTTTGTTGATTCGCCATGACTTAAGCTTTTCACAATCTGTTTTTCATATGTACAGTTGTATCACCATTTATGATACAACCAGATAGGGGCAATGTGCTGATTTCTGTTTTTGAATAAAAACCAACATCCACTTTGACAAAACAGGTGGGTCCATTTTTAAATGCATTTTACACTAAAAACATTTGTGAAAGTCTACCCTGAAAGCCTTTTTATTATTTGTTCACTTGAAATGAGTTATAAAGACCCACAAGAAGTTTTGTTCATCACTTGTGGTTTGTCACGTGCTTCAAAATACATGTTGATTATGTACATGTATACATGTACCTGATAGACGATAATTCGTTTTCCATGTCTGGAGTTCACTGTTGTGTTTCAACGATTCTGCATGTGCTGCTAAGGCATTTTTGCCCAGAAAGCGTATTTAATTTCTACATCACACCGCAGGCAATACCGCCTTACCAGGTTTTGCCAATTTCCGATTGGCCTCAACCCACTCCAATCGTGAGGAATTTCGTAATCCCTTTGTCGACGTGCTTCACTTTTCCTTCTTCTGGATGAATGATGTCTTTACACGCAGACATGATGATGGAAATGTAAGTATGAGAAACGTCTGTTCAACAACACACACGACGGTCCCATTTTCCATGAAAAGTATTCAGGGTACCAGGTGCAGTGGCTTTAAGTGGTGGTCTGTTCACTCGTGCATGTGGTGAGTAGCATGAGAAGGGCACAATCATTGGCTTATATGAGGATACGTCATGGAAAAAAGCCTATCAAAGCGATTGTGACACCTACAGTTACATGGAAATCAACACATTTCCTACAGAGATGTTCACTGGTCGGCACTCGTTTTTGTCTGTCAAAAGTGCCTATGGAACGTGTTGCTTTATCTTATTTCCCAATTCTAGCCTGGTTTCAGGTCTGTGTGAGCACAATGACCGTGTGTTCCTAAACTACACGTGAACGTACTGCCTGCATGGCAAGACACAGTGTGCTTTCTGGTCAATGATATTGATTTTAATGTGCTTAGGACGAAATAAAATGACGTGACACATGGAAAGTAAGCAACAAGAAATGCAATTTCATTTTATTCCACAACAAATTGAGAATCAATATCATCATATCTGATACCTGGAAGTCAAATATCATCGTGATGAAATGGGTCAGAAAAGTTTAAAATATCGGAATTTCTAAGTCGACTATCGCCATGTTGGACAGTCCAAAATGGCAGAACCTATTTGCAAAAGCGGATTTTCAAAGTCCCAAAAGCCGAAATCAGCCACAAAGCAGAAGAATCTCATCCCTACCACAGACAGCATTGGACTACTATGCTGAACTGAGCCAGCCCACTATCTACTCACCTTTAGACACCTCCTCTCACTCTCAATGCCACCAGTGCTTGGGTGAGCTACATCGATGAAGATAAGATCTTGAAGGTACAAACCTGAGAACATTGACACAGAAAACAAACATAGGAATCACAGGAAATATCAAGAAATCACCAACAGTCAAAAAAACATTCCATTCACCCCAAAACAACAGCCCATAAGCAAGACTAGAACTACTGATCTCTCCTATATGACTATTTTCCTTCTTAAGACAACAAATCGTGGGTGCCCCGCAAGGACACTTGAACATGTTCATTTGGTAATAAATTAAGACAATTATTTTCAAACCTCTCTAGACTGAGAACACTGTACAGGTACACATGTGCAAATCTTAATTCTAAACAAGATAAACATTTGTTCCCAACATCTGCGTGGAGCTGCAACAGAGCCCTGAACTGGAGAAAAGAACAGCCAGCTGAACCAAAATTATGGCCAAGAAGGAAAGTGCCAGGGGTGGTGTGTACCGGTCCTAGGTGGCACTAATGTAAAAGTAAACACTGAGCTTGATACTACAGAGTCTATAATCTCACCTAGGTAGGGTATACACGGCAGTCGCACACAGTCCATGTGTTCTCGTAGTTTCTGTCTGTTGTCATCTTCAGACATGAGTTCAGCTAACTTCTCGCACGTGGATCGCTCTTTCTTGTGGAGGAGCTTTACCACAAAAAATGGACATAATGATTTAAATGACATGATTTAAAACCTACAGGTGACACCAGAAATCTTGAGGAGTAAATACACACGTATAAGGATTTGAAAATGACATACATGTAAGATGTTTAGAATTACTCACTTGATTAACTTAAAGGTACATGTGTAATGACTGTGTGAAACAAAGGGTTTCTTTATAACACTTGCATTTGCCAATTCAAAGAAAGTAATTGACATGTGTTCTAAAGTACACTGTACGTAGCAAATTGATAAAGTTCCTGGCAGGAAATGGGTCAGTAAATTTTCCATGAAGACCAAACAGGTATGGCATGATAAAACAAAACGCAGAAGACCAAAAAGAAAGAAAAAACTTCTTGTAAAGGACTAATACAATTAGAATATTAACCAATAAAACGCATTACCTTGTCCAGCAGCAATTTTAATACATGTCCGGTATTTTCTTAATACCAGCCTAACACTTTTACAGCACCACTGATAACATCGTGAATTTGACATCATTTTATCACAGAGGGTACTCACATTCCAGGTTTTACTTAATCTAAAGATGGGTGCGCTGTGAAGCGCTGATATGACAGCCATAAGTGAGTGGTAGTTATTCAACTCAAATAATTTCTGAAAAGGAAATTACAAAGATCCGAGGGTTAGTTTACATACTGACTAGAATCTAAATCAGTGACTTCTCAAGAAAAAAAAAAATTATGATGAGCTTCAAAGAAAGCTATGTGTATTAAGCTTTAAGGTGTTTTCCAAACAAAAAAATTTTCTTAAGTGGGGTATGGGTATTTGACACACCAGTGAACAGGTGCATTTGACAATGGAGACCTCATTGCAATGCTTAATTCAAGATGGTTCAGTCAGACAGTATTCAATTGAAAGCCTGTAGTACATGTACACATGTATGAGAATATTTGACATAAAGCCAAGAAAGACGAACAGTTTTTATTGAATCTTGCGAGTCACAGTTGAATTCAGTCCTAGATTTTGATATCTTAGAAGCATATTGCAGCAAAATGAGCTTACTTTTGCTCAACCGATGTATTAAATCTGTGAAGTTTTCGAGACAAAAGCATACATGTACACGTAGCATCCACTTTTTTTTTCTAGACACTTGAGTTGAAAAAAAATTGCCGATATCACCAATATCCCGATGTCATATTTTTCAAAAGTGGACAATTCTGTTGTTTTTTTTCATAAAGTATCACGTGGGTGATGATTAAATTGTAATATCGTCCGCCACAAGCATTCTCACATCAGAAATACCAGATGATGTCAGGAAACCTTACCTTTGCAATTTTGACAAACTGTCCTACAATTTCAGCCCTTATTTTCAGAGTTTGCCCGCCCAGGATTTCATGAACGACCCAGAAACTAACCTGTTAGAGACAAAAAAAATTACTGAAATAAAACCAAATAATAAATGATATGTAAATATACATGAACATGTATGTCCTTCAATTCTAGTTGACTTTGGTTCTGGTATTAAAGTTAACATTTCAGTGTTTCTGTTTTTTGGAGGGGGGGATCTCTAGACTAATTCAGGAACAAGAATTAGACGCCACTGCTGCAGTGGTACCAGTATCACGCTAACATGCTGCTTCAACAAACAGGATACTGTGAGTTACAAAAATATTCATGTACCTGCAGCATAAACGAATAAATATGCACGAGTGTGGCACCATGGCAATAATGGTGCCTCATCAAATGTTGACATTAATCCATCTGTGGACTCTCACGTCTACCATGTAAGAGATTAGAAAATACCCAAGCTTTTTTGTAGGCATGAAATCACACAAGTTTATACTAAAATACGAGGTTTCCAATCATTACAGCCTATCTGCACCCTGCCAATGTTACTTTATCATAGCCACCTTGAATTTAATCAAGCTGTTGGTTCATGAAGTATGCATGTGTGCAGGTCCAGGGAAACTCTCAGAAGTTGAGGTATCACCTGCAGTGATGGCACATCCTTGGCAGTCAAGATTTTCATTAACATCAAGGTTGATCTATTGGGACCTTGTGAGCAATTATGTCCTTTCAAGATGTACGTTATGCCTGGAGAACTGACTATCTTGGGAGACACATTCACATGATAAGGATCCCATGTCGGGGCTGTCCTTGAGAATACAGAGTTGCATCAATTTGTTTCAGATTTTGAAGATCTCTGTTCTTTTGTCTGGTGCATTTCTTCTGGGGATGGGCCTTAGAGAGTTTAGGGCAGATGTTCTGGTTAACTTTTTTTAAAGGGAAGCAGGTTCACCCTTCACTGCTACAGAAATCCTTCCCATTCTTTACACTTTTCAAAAGATAATTACACTTTTTTAGGGGGGGGTTACATTCCCACTTTGAGGAAACAACCTTTCTCTTTTCTATGGACATCTCAGAGATAAAAATCACAGAATAGAATCTGAGTGACTTACTGCACACCACATTCACATACATGTACATGTATTTAAGTGGTGGCTTCAAAACCTAATTAGACAAAATATCATTCCCTTGCCAGGACCCACTTTCAACAAAGTACATGGTAACGGGTAACTGGCCAGAAAAATGACCAGAGTTGTTGATTAGTTCATAGATGTCAACTGAACTCCCTCTCATCGGGTAAATGCCCATTGATTGGACACAATTTGAAAGTCAAGACAATATTCCCACATATCTTGCATAATCAACTTCTCTAACAGACCGCAAAGTCCCAGGAAACATTCCTGTGATGTCATGAGCTTACATGGTTGAATCTCCGGGTGAAAGCAACTATGTTGGGACAGAGGTTGTTCTTGTCTTTGCCTGACCAGGCGCAGCTGCTTAACTCCTAAAAATGAGAAGCAGAAAAAAACGAAATGAGGAAACATGTAAAAATGTTGGATTATTCCTCTGTTAAGAACAAATTCTAGAAGTATATAATGTCAGGGGAGTAGGTAAACATCTCAGTTTATTTCTCCATTGAGTATTCCTTGTGAATTTGGTGGTTTTCTTTTTAACTTTTTGTTTTACAACCTCACCTTTTTCAAATTTTGCTTTGTTTTGCCCAGTTCAAAATTTTTCTTGTTTTTGATTATAAACCATATAGATATAAGTTCTCTGGAAAGGGTCCAGTTGAGCTAACCTTGCATGCACCTGCGGGTACATGTATTGACTGGACTTAATATTCTTGGAAAACTTGTGATCTAGGCACACTAAAACATGAGAGAAGTCAAAACCTTAATCAGACTCGGAATTTTCTACACACTTCCTTTCCCAGGAAATGGTGTGAAACATTTGCCATTCACCGACTGAAGATTTATCCCACAGCCAAGTGGCAGTTTTGTTTTTGTTCACAACTTATCCACAGGAGGACTGTTAATAAGAAAATGTCAAGGTTTGGTATTTTATGGGCTGTACCAAACATAAGCTACATTTCTTAGATTTTTTACACCCCAGGCTGGGAAGATTTATAGCTTCTGGAGAAGTTGGTGGGATGCAATCTGGTCAGTGGAAACAGTACATTGTACATGTACATGGGGATTAACAAGCAAAAATGGCAACGTGTACAGCATATGCACATACAATATCTGGGCTTCTTGAGAAATTTCTTATATCCAGGAAGATTTTTGGGATAGACCAAGTCACTACAGGTATGAAAGCATACAGTTGACTTCATGCATAATCAAAAGTCTCAAGATATCAGTGCTATACAGCATCAATGTGGGAAAATAAAGCCTCAATGTATCGCACATGTTTTCCTGACCGCAGGCACTACACTTAAACTCGGCCATTTGTTTGATCAAGTTTGGGCCAAAGTTATGTCAGTGCGACTCCTCTAAAATTATACATGCAAAGCTTGTCGTTTCTATTCAAAAGACTGCGTTGCTGAATCACATGGGATGTATGCAACAGTACACGTATGGGGTAGCATACAAAGGCATTAAACACGGTGTAGTCAACATACATGTACATGGGCCAGACACCATCTTCATGGGCAATGCCCACAGGTAACAATGCATTCACTTTCCCACCAATCATTTACACCATCCGTTTGTACTGCACCGGTAACGAGGGCCCAAACACCTGCTACACATGTAAAACAAACCAAATTGTACAGGAGGACAACAACAATTTTCTTTAAAAAAACTCTAATTTTGCATGGAAAAACTACACACCAAAATCACAGCTCTCCTATGGCATTTTTTCCCCATTACATGTAATATTTTAGTCAGATTTCAAATATTAATGGGAGCAAATCAAAAGGAAACACTGGTAACTCTACACTGCTGCCCTACCCTGAATGGGAAAAAAAAACCATACACAGAGAAATCCTGCGAGACAAACTACTTGTTTGCTTTGGTTTCTGTTTTTGGTTGGGGTGTGGGGGTGTACTTGTTTCTCTGAACTGACACTGATGAGATTTATTACCTGGTGAGATTTTTACTGGAAAGGTTTATAAATTTCCAAGCATTACAACAAAAACCCATTCATGAAACAAAGCCAAGCCTCAAGAAATGTACTGCTGTGTAAGCTCAGATAAAAACTAAAAGATCGTTCAACTTTCAAAGAATGGTGTACATGTTTATCTGCTTTTTACTTTCAAGCACAACCAGGTAACCTCCAAAGGTCTTGCAATAAAACAAGCCCATATGTATGCACAAAGAGTTGAGGAACCAAGGGAGAAGAAAACCAGAAAGCTTGTGGTTACAAAACAGGTCTCTTCCTTGTTGCAAATAAAGCCCTTGCCACTGCCAGGCATGGACTGTTTCATTTTTGATGTATACACCAATACAAGAGGAGTGACACTTTCATGATTAATGAAAGTGAGGAGAAACGTGCATGGGTAGAGCAGATTCATGAGAAGATCAAATATCCTGCTCCATTGTATGTGATTACTGACTGATATGCGGGTCATGAAATCTCACAGCAAGCACAGTGTTCAAACCTACATGTATATCATATCATTTGATATTTGCCCTGGGAAAATAAGCATTATCCAGGACAAGGTTCCTGTTTTACTGCTCAATTATTGCTTGTGATACACAAGACATTCCTAGCCTGACCTCATCAGTGCACTGAGCTGGGATCAGAGAATGCAAAACTAACACCAGCCCCTTGTAATCAGGGATCGATATGACACACAACACTACTGAGAGACTGGATTCCAGCAAGACATATATCACTTAACAATGGACACTTCTATTGAGAATTCTACCCAGCTGGATGGCTCTATAAAGTACAGGTACCCTTCCCTTAGGAATACCTGTAATACAATACAAAATACATGTATGTTGCCAACAAATGCAGGATTTATTTTAATGCCATTTCTGAGAATATCAAGAAGTTTCTCAAAATAGATTAAGAAACAAGCAACACACAAAAAATTGATATTTCAAATTCTTTAAAAGTATGTAAGATCTCAAAGTCTCAAAATACTTCGCGTGCATGTACATGTCATGCATGTAGTTCAAATACCAATTCATTAGCAGACGGCAACAGATACATGTATTTTTCTTTTTAAGTGTTTTGATTCATAATTACATGTTGTTTTGCATTTTCTGTAACATTAGATAGAACATACATGTACATGTGAACATGTGTGGACTCCAGGATTACTGTTTGCTATTATTCAGAACTCATGATAACATTCGTCCAACACTGAACGTAAATCTGTCAAATGTTTTAAAAATAACATAGCATTGTAGCCCAACTGCATGTGTTTCTAGCCACAGATGATTATGTACAGCATGCATGTCACACTTTCTGCACAATAAAATGCTACAACTTCCAGTCATGGATTAAAAGCAGCAATCATCAAGCAAAAGCGTGTGGCTCTAATGCCGTGATGTTTATATAATGACCAGATGGTGTTGCTTGCCTATTCACCAGACAGGATTTCTCTACCAAATGACTCCAATATGCCAGTATCTCATTCAAACTTTCTGCATGGATAACATGTTCCACTGTCTAGTTTTTAATCATAAGACTACCATACACACCCATGCAGGTACCTGTATCTAAAATACACGTACAGATCATTTCTCAAGTCATGTAACATGTGCAATGTACATGTGTGGATTGGGCCTACAATGCCTCTCTTATACTGTACCTACATGTACATGTAGCTTACAATAATTTCATGTGAAGATTTCTCATTTCTTTGTATGTCTGAAAAATCCAAATCAAATGAAACAGGGGCAACCAAATTCGTAATATCATGGATGTCACCCAGATTGAGGGGTTTTTAATTTAACCGGAGATTGCTACTGAAACTGATCAATTTAAGGACTAGAAATGAATTAAAACTAACAAAACTTTTGCTGCATAATATTTCACATTCCTTTTTTATACATGTATGTGCAAATTACCCGTACGAATTGTATGTACACTTCTATTCCTGTAGTTCCATTTATCCCACAGGGCAAATCATCAGATTTTACTGTATCAGGTGAGCGGAAAACCATGAACAATATTCCAGGGCAAACCCACAAAACCAGGCAGGGACCAAAAAACCCAGTCTATGTATATGTACATGCCGACCTAGGCGAGACTGGAACCTGGACCGCCGAAGGTAAGAGGAGGAAAGAGCCACTGTACCAACCTGACTCCCCTCCATACACGGTAAAAAATACTGAGCTACATGTACCTGTTCCGGTAGCTTTGGAAGAGGAAGAGAGAGAAAAAACTAAGGCTATGTGTATGAAAGAAGAACTACATGTATACCCAAAAACAGTGTTAACTGACGGCAGTATCAAAGGGCCATTCTACATGCACCTGGACACGAGCATGCATCCTAGGCTCCTGTACACATCCAGGACAGTGAATTCAAACTGTGTTACTCTTAAGGTTATGACTGTGAGTTCAGTTGTAGCTTTGCTTTATTATGGCTTTCGTCATGTTGGGACATGCCTGCGACTCTGAACACAGTCAGTTGGTTTAAAACAAATGCAATTTGCTAGAGTGTACGCAAGAAAAGAATCCATAGACAACGGACAAGCATTATCAGGCTTTACCACATACAATTAGTGCTTGCTTTGGTCAATTTGATCACCATTAAGGTACTGTGTAATTTTGTCTTTAAACAACAGCCCTTGAGAGGAGCAAAGTGATTCTCAGTTTCTCAAACAAAGAAATTGCTACCAACATTTACAATTTATTCAGCGGATTGCTGCATGTGGAGATGCTGAATTTTACTGTGCAGTAATTCCACAAATGCAGATGACTCACATGTTAAAATGTGCTGACAGACATCATACATGTATGTGTCGATGTTCATGTACCAAGGCTTCCAGTGAACTGCTAGGTGTTGTGTAGCTTACAAATTACTGCCAGATGTGAATTGACAAACTACATGCAAAGAGACAGTATTTTCAACATTCATGGACTCACCTCTGGAGTGATGGCTTTGAAGACCGGCAAATCCATCAGGGTAATCTGATTCTGAAATCAAATTAGACATGTAGCAGTATGTTTACAACATTGTAAAAAAAACAATTACTCACAGATTCCACACTGCTTTATTCTGTAACGATATTGTCCAAACAATAATACTCAATCCATTAATTAACACTACATGTAAGGACTTCTGCATCAAGCAAACTCAACCACAAGCCACTCCTGTATGGAGTGATGTAAAGCTCACATGCAGCCTTTAGATCAAGGCAATACACTCAATGCTCCATTGGCTAATGTTAAAACGAATCATGACTGCTTTTATGAAGGAGACATTTTAAAGACGGTCGTAAGAGAAGTTTCTCTTAAGTGCCCAAGACGTACCAGTGCAACGTTTCAACAACTTTCTTCAATCAACAAGCACTGTACAATTCCTTGGGAGTTAAACTTGATAATGTGCCAGTTCTTAGAAAGAAATCATAAGTAATTTAGTTCAAATTCATTGATAAAGATTGCTGTCCTTTATGAAAATCTGAGTTGACCTACATGTACAATGTACATACATGTACAGGTACATGTGCTTTTCAGCCCTTCTAAACATATTTTGCTGAAAGGACAGGTCATTCTTGTTTACATGCGCTCCGCTGAAAATGTAACAAAGATAGTCGTCCCTCTATGAAAGATAAATTTCACTTTTCCTATATGTACATGTATGTCGTTCTATGTCCTTCTGCTTCCACGCAGTGGGTTTTGTGCATGTTCAAAGAGCAGCGCTGTTACATGTACATCACTTCATGAAATTGCCAGATGCAATGTTGTAATGTTGGCCCCTTACATTGTACATGTACATCATAAATTAATTTTGACATGTGTGGAGTTCTGCCCATGGAAGCACATCAGAATGGTTGAGATTTTTATAAATCAAAAATGATAAAAAAAAACTTGAAATCCAAATGTCACTTTTTTACATGCCTGTCTGTTAAAAAAAAAGCCGTATGCCTCGAATTGAATGAAAACATGTACACACAGCATGCAACTTTTGAATCTTCTTAGGTAACTACATATTCACCTATGGTCTCCTCTATGGTCAACCTTTGATCAAGTTTACACCCAAGGACATGTAAGCATGATCTGGCATTCAATGTGTTGTCTTCACCTGACAGCTGACAGGCTAAACTGACAAGTTTTCCCCAAGACTCTGGCAGATGTGAATATACTGATACTATCCTGATTTGTTTGTACAAAAAAAAAAATAGATCCAGGAAGTCTTTGGATGTACATGTACATGTAGGCTGAGTTGAACTTCAACTTGACCTATGTATATGGCATGCACTGTAGCAAATATCACGACTGACAGGCCTTGGAATGTTGTAAAATATGAGGTCATATTGTAGAAATAAGCCTATTGGTAGCCCGACTCTCACCAGTCAGTAATTACATCTGATCACAGTGGTTTAAAACCTTACCTGACTCAGACATCAGCGAATACTGTCCAATTATTTGCACTCACATCAATTAAAACAATTTAGTAAGTCTCTAGACTTATTTAGAGTTCTCTTAGGTTTTCAATTTGGATACAGAAAGACGTTTTTGTAATGGATGCATTGGCAAAAGCACATCATGATTGTTCTCCATGAACGATTGCCCTCTATTGACAGTAATTAAGATTTCAGGAACAGCAGTTTTGAAAAATTCTGAGGTGATTTCAAAGAGACCATCACCTCAGTTTGGAAATGAATTCATTATGCATTTGTATTTCATTGCAACATAATGGAAAAGGAAGGAAAATATGACAAAAAAGGAATGATGTGACTTCATTTCACTTTTCAATATTCGTTGAATTTCTTGAATTCTATATTGGTCAAATAAATAAAATGGCAATTTTTTTTCTCTGAGATTTGGTAATATTTCAATAAAGCGAGTTCCTAACTTGGTCCGAGTCCCTTTTTCGCTAAGCAGTTTTGTGATTAAAACTATGAAACAATCTGGAGTATTAAACAAGTCGCCCTTTCCCAATGACCTCTCTTTCCCCTTCAATTATGTTTTTCAATTCTTCCTAAAGAGTCCGTATTCATTGGGTGACTTTCCTCAGAGCATTCTGACCCTGCGAGGTCAGGGTCTCGAATTATTTTGCTAGTGATCTCAATGTAATTGGCCTCTAACAAGCCGCAGAATGATGTAAAGGTTTCTTTCTCAAAATATAATTTTGATTTTGAAAAGCAGAGTTTTTGGTTGACAATTTTCCAACTATTGTCAGTCTACCTTTCTTCAAAAAAAGCAAAGGTATCTACTTCAGTGGAATATCTGGCAAAACAATTAAAAAAATGTGTGTGTGTGTGTGTGTGTGAAGGTTATCTCATTAGGTACTACATGTAGTTAACAATTACAAGCATAATATCGAGGGAAAAAAATATGAAATGTCTGGGTCTTTAAACCACTGTGCTAACATAAATTTGGGCCAATGTCTCGTTTAGTTTTCAAGAATCTTGACTTTCTATCTTAATAACAACATCCGCACATGGTTAGTCAAACAAGGAAAACTCATGCCGACTTGGTCTTGTGCAAGCTGAAGGTGGTCCACATTGGAAGGAGTGTTCCCCTAGCAGTGCAAACTTCAGATTTGCATGTATAAATGCGCACAAAATCAAAGACAAGCTTTGGTGTGCGTACATTCATTGATGATGCCAGGATTTTTTCTCCTGCAGGGTGAGGGAGGGCGGTGGGGGGAGGCAGGGATTCATCAGCAGCAAGTTAATTAATTAACCATTAACCCTACCCCCCCGGGACCATTCAAACCCTGCATAACCTTGTTGGGTTCAGCATGGTTAGGGTTAATGGTGGGAGGTAGTATATGCCGAGGTATTTCCAAGAAAACTGGTGATTCGTATTGAGTTTCATACCTTTCTGTTTCTCTTCTTTTTTTTCTTTTTGTAATTTTCAATATTCTTTGAGGGGAGGAAGGAGAGGGCAAGTGTCTCCCCTTACACTGCCCATGGTAAACACTTCTTTGACATGCACCAATTGGCATTTTCTTCCACATTTAAATGGAAAATTCTTCATGGAAACTATGTGTTGGTTTCTTTTTTACCAGTTTTCGTTTTTAACTAGGGATCAACCAGTGTTACTGTTAACTGCCGATCCAATGTCCCATGTTTTAATTGGAACATTGGCCAATGTCTGATCTGATCTGACGTTTTTACTCATACTAATGATGTCCTTGAAAACCCCAAGTATTGACAAACCTTAACATGATGTACAATACGCATACTCCCAATAACACAAAAACAGTGTACTACTGTGTCAGTTTATACAGTAATGTAAATTAATTCTTCTAAGTGTAAAGGATTGCCCTAGATTTGTTTGCCTCTGTTGTTACAGAGTTGAGAAAATACATCATATCGCACATCACCACTCACCATCGCCACCGGAGCACTCCAGTGTATCCACACCAACGCATGTGGTGCATACGTAGCCCGCTCATGGAAAGTATGCAGAGTATTTGGACACAGTGTAACAATTCACCCATTTTTGTGTAACTGCTTTGCATTAAAACCAAATGACCAAACCACAGTTTTCATTCGCAATCAAAAAATGGGATTTGTGTTTGCCAAAACTGGGTGCAGAGTTTTTCCTTTCTTCAATTTAACATACATGTAGGCACTCATAACGTCAAGAACAGTCAAATTTTGCCGATGCGATGTTTTGCTGATGTTGCTGAACATCAGCCCCATCCGATGTCTGATCCGACCATCAGTTGATCCCTATTTTTACAGAACCTGTGCCTGGAACCTCTGCGGTCTTAGGCAGTGATTATACTTACCGCCAGGTCATCTGGCATGACCCTTAGCACGTCAAATACAACAGCATCATACGTCTTGAGTCTCGGCAACGTCCATCTCCCGCTATCTGCCGCTTCTCGCCCACTCAACTGCAGGTAACAAAAGGTGACAAGACTGGTGAATTAAAGAAGACATCTGTCAGACTTGCACCAAATGGAATGATTGATGCACTGATCTTCTGTTGGAGCAGACATGATTAAAGAACCTTTGCCAGCCTCCTGACTGAACTGCCTTTGGATGGCACTGAACATTCACACTAAAAGGATTTTATTCGAATGCCATTTTGAATTTTAAGAAGGACAGTTCTACCCTTTGAGAATAATGCACCCAAAGAACTGATTACCTGAAACCAATCCAGTCTCATTTCACGATATGGACTTCAACTACACGTATACTTCATGGATTCCTTGTTTGAGGAGCGGCAATACACTACACCGCACATACGATTCAATTGCTACAGACATAGGGAACAAAGGTTTCTACTGAAACAATGGATACATATGAACCCACATTTTCATGTTCCATCCCTGCTAAAGATGCAGCATGCAACAGTGGTCAGAAATTGAAATATTGTTGAATTTCCACTCAATGCAAAAGGCAGGGAACACTCTGGTTAACATGGTTAAAATGCATAATGCCGAACTTGTTTATTTAGTATGCTACACAATGCCCAAAAATCCCCAAGTGCATTTTGCCGCATTCAACAGGATCTCCATTTCAGCTGTGTCGATCTGTTTGTATTTACTCGTACATGTGGCTAAGTGCCTAGAAAAAAGCTGGTATGGCGCAGATACACTATAGATGACACACATGTCCTGTGGCAATATGAAGTCATTTAGAACAGATGGTAAAGTCTGAGGTCTCACATGACTCACTCTTACAGGACATTTAAACCTCTTCAAGGTCTTGTACTCTACTGGGAATTTTAATGAATCAACCAGCAAGTAACAAACACCATGACAATAGAAAACAAACCATTTCACGTGCGCTGTAGCCTTTCTTTTCAAAATTTCGAGAACCACTGTCACGCAAAGATCAGA